AAATCAGTCTGAGCTTCTATTCTTGCATGTAATTTATATTTATTTGTTCATATACAAATTAAGTCTTTATATAGTCTTTATATAATTACTTATATAAATTATCTAATAAAGATATAAGCAAGGCCTTACCTTAAAACCAAAAAAAAATAAAATAAAATAGTAAATTTTGTAATAATTTCTAACAACAAATAGAATTATAATGATTCTAATAGAAATTAACTTATCACATATTATAATTACTAGAGTAATAAGTAAGTTTTGTAATAGAAATTTTATTACAACTTATAATATATATTATAATACAAACTAACTTATCTTTAAACTTTTGTTACTAGTATCATAGTTAAATTTGGTACTTGGGTATTTATAGTGTAAAGATTAAAGATCATAATTAGGATTTGCATGAATGATATAATTCTAAATTGCACAGAATTAATTAAAAACTAAATTAGTAATTGTATAAACAATATAGTAATTATTAGTGATTAGTATAATATATAAAGTATCAATCTAAATAGAGAAGTGCCTAATTTTTGTTCTTGAAAATTAATTTTGTTCTTAGTAAATAAACTGTTGTCTGTATGATTACATTATTGGTAGTAGTATCTGGTGCAATATTCTAGTTATTGTAAATATTAGCTAAGCAAATGAAGACTCAAAGTAAAGTGAAAATACATAGTAGTCCAAAAAATTTGTGATTCTAAAATAATATATAAGTTTTTTTGCAACTTATAGAAGTTATAATAATTTTAATACAAACTAACTTAATCTTAACTACATATTATATATCTCAAAATAATAAATTTGAAATAAAATATTTTATAATAATATTGTATCTAGATCTGAAATCTGCCCAATTCAGGTGTCGCTTAAAGCCAGATTCATCACAAAATCACCTGATGGTCTGCAACTATCGGGTAATTCAGTCAGATATTTTTCAAAATTCATAGATTATTTCTAGAATAGTCTACAAACATCTTCCGAAACATGATTGGGCATTTGATAATCTTCCTATAAATAATATTTCAGTATTTTGTCGATCTAATACGTATCTAATATGTAATAAAAGTCAAAATTAGCTATTGAAATATATATTTTTAAGCATGTACTTTCAGAATCCCTGGGAATCCCTGAGACTTAATAAGTTAGCTTTTTCATAAATTAAAGTTTAAATTACATAGTTTCATATATAGATCAACCATGGATTCAAAATCTGAAGCCAAAGATCTGCCTTGCTTTTTCGCTATTTTTGCCAAAGAACACAAAAACAGTGGCTTGTTAAAGTATATTGAGAAATATAGAGAAGAGAAGTAGCAAAATGCGTCTGCCGCTACAGCAACAAAAAGAATAACAGAAATGGCTAAGTATTTTTCTGAATTAACTCCATATCTTGATTCTATAGAGAATTATTCTTTATGTGAGAGGCACTATAACCGGGTTGTTGCTAAAAAAAAATTTATTAATCAATTAGAGAAAGAAACTGATTCAATTCTTCCATCTTTAGATGAACCTGAGAAAAAAAAGTTAAAGTTTTCTAATGACGATGATGACCCACAAGTTCTTGAAAAAACTTTCGTTAATGTTGGCATTCAAGTTGATTAGTGTGAAAAAACCTTCATTAATTTTGGCATTCAAGTTGATTTGTATGAAAAAACCTTTGTTGATTTTGGTATTCAAGTTGATTTGTGTGAAAAAACCTATGTTGATTTTGGGTCCCAAGTATTCTTTTTAGATCCAATGTGTAAAATTCTTCAAAGAAGAATTGATGAATTAGAAAAAAATAATAAGCAATTATTAAGTGAAAATGAAACATTAAAAAAAAGGCTAAGTAAAAGATTTACTAACCAAGAAGATCATATTCTTTCTGTAATAGAGATTGCCAAAAAAAAAATGGGTAACTTGTATTTAGACATAATAAGTTTAATGAAAAATCAAGAGCAGTTTTGTTTAAATAGCCTTTTAGAGTATTCTTCCTCTAAATGGCTTGCTGAACAGAATCCAGTCATTGTAAAGTTTATAGAAACACTTACGTATAATGAAAAAGACTATAAACTAGAGGGTGAAAAACTTTTCAAGTGTGCGGTAGCCATTGATAGTATATATAGATCAAGACACTCAAAATATGTGTCTACATTTAATTTGGCTGCTTCAGCAGTTAAGTATTCATTAGCAAAATCAAGAATGATTATTGATATTGACAACCATTTTATCAGCTTTGGTAGTTATTCTAAGTTTACTAATTAGTTAAAAAGTTTGGCCGTAGAGCCACTGCCATTTTCTGAAGGTTTTTTATTTTTAGCTTTTGACAATGAGCAAAAGGGCCAAAAAAATTATTTAAACCGTGGACATAATATAGTCATATTCCATACTGTTACGAGTTTTATTGCTTTTAATTATGATCAAAGCAATATTTAGAATATAAATTCTTGGTTATATTCTGAACTTGCCCAAAAACAATATGAGGAGTTATTTTGATTAACACCAGGTATAAAAGATAAAATTCATGAAGAGCTTACTAACTACCTTTCAATTGTTTTAGAGGAACTTCTTCTTGAAAAAAATCAAGAAACAAACACGATTGATTATCTGGTAAACTCTCAAAGCCAGACAAGATGTATAAAAAAATGTTCTTTTTGCCAAGCCTTCGACATCGATAACAAGAAGCGGGTTTGTCCTAAATGTCATAATAAATTACCTACAATTAATAAAATGAATCAACAAATTAATAAATCATCATCATCATTATCTAATATTAAAAATACTACTAATAAGTCTTTAGTTATTTATTCTTATTCTCATAGGTTTAAAGAATCAAATATTCAAGGTTCAGTTCCTGAGGTTTATACGCCACAAATATTTGTTCCTGATCCACTAGGAATTATTTCCAATTCGATCACTAATGTTCGAAAAGTTCTTGAGCATATTGGTAAAATATCTGGGATTAAAGACAATAGGCGTAAATAGATTGTAATTACCTGTGATAGTGTACCATATCATCACATACAGAAAATAAAGAAGGATTTCCATTGGCTTATATTAATTCCAGGTGCCCTCCACGAGAAAATAAATATGTTAAAGAAATTTATCGAGTTGAACTAGAATATTGATATAAGAGATTTTGCTCATTGCCAAGAGTATTAAACTGATAATCAACTTCAGTTCTTTAAAAAATGCTCTAATCATCATAATCATGGGATTCAGTATGTAATATATATAGACATGCAATGGCTTCTGAATTAATGTGGCTATATGTTATTTCTGAAGAAAATCCTTCTGTTGAAGGTTATTTAGAGTGGGCTCAAAATCAAATTGATCCCATATATAGGTTAAAGTATGAACAAATTTTTCTTTATCTGCAAGCAATTATTAACTTTTGTATTAGAGTTCATTTTATAAGCCTTCACTAAGACTTGCTGCTAGAAGAACATTTGTGCCTATTTGGTCTGCTCGACAAAATCCAATTTATCAATTGATTGAGATTTATGATGAAGAGCAAATATTACAATTGAAGCCTGAAGTTTGCAATTTGATCCAAGAAAGAGTTGTAACTTCACAATCCAAACTTTTGAGTCAGCATCAAGGCCATGATGCAATACTTGAAGAAATTAATAAAGCACTCAAATCATTGATTCCTCTGATACCTTCATAGTGGCATTGGGAAATTGCAGCACGTAATTGTACTAAGTTTTTGAAATTGTGTACTAATCTTTTTAATATTATAGGGTATTCTGAAAGTGAACCCCAAGAGCCTCGTACACATCTTAGTTTTTCTGCTGAATCAAGTCACTTTTGGGCTCGAATAAGAAAAACTCAATTCATAAATCCAAGCGCTGATAACCGTGGTTTTCAAAATATAAGTAGAGAATAGACGCTAAGTGAAGAAATGAAGCGATTTAGTAAAATTGCACATACGAAGAGAATTGAACATATTAAAGTAAAACTAATTAACAAGACAGTATTAGATATTTAGCATTCAATACCTATAATGTGTGAAGAGGCAGATCTTCAAAAGACTGAAAGTTCTTTAAAAAAATCAAAGATTTTATCTATTATTAACTCTTTAATTCCTTATTTAGGTGATTCTGATCATTCACGTTTCTGGTGCTTGTCGAGTAAATCCCATAACAAATTAATAAAATTCTTTGAGAGATTAGAAGTGTATTAAACAAAAACATCATTAATATTAGTAATGAGGAATAAATAGGTAGTGTGGTTTTGGTTAAATTTTTTAATTCTGTAATTGTTAAATGTATCATTTTATATTTATAATAAAAAATTAATATTTTAAAAGAATCAACTTTTTTTAAATATTTTTAATAAATTATTTAAAAATTTTTATTACATTTTTATTTTATACATTTTACTCCTGTATTCTTAAATTATATCTTATTATTGATCTAATCTCTTACTATTACAATATTATTATTGAACCACTAATATATTTAAATATTAATCTACTATGATCCTCTCATTTCCCACATCCATTCCACTTTCTCAGGATACACTATATCAACTTCATGGCTTACAA